TCAAATTATTAAGTATAACAAGTGTGAGTAGTATGGATAATAGTCTTACATTATATACAAATATGGTGACTTGAGCATTTATAAGTGGGAGAACCCACACACATATCACCTTAAGGTTTTGGGTGAATATGTGATGTGTCTCTCACAAAAATGTTGCTCTAAAAAGAAAAGTCTCACAATGTTCAATGCTCAATAGTTGAAAAATCTTCCCTAACACAAATTACTATTACCATTCTTAAAAATGAATGAATGTTTTGTAGAATTAGAGACATGCAAACTCATCCTTCATGGAAGAGATTATGCGGCGGCAATGATGATCAAGGTTGTCAAGTTTTCTCTTTTTCTTTAATGCTCATGTAATTTCAATAAATAATTTTATAAAATAATATTTTGATAAATTACAAAAATATTTTAAAATTATACCGGAAAAAATTCATAGACCAGCTCTATTCTTATTTTCAACAATCATAGTAATTTTTATTAGAAAGAGTTCATATTCATCAAATTTTAAAATAATAATGATTTTTATTGAAAAAAGTCTATATTCATCAAATTTTTCTTACTTTATAATCATATTATACCCCAAAATAACAAATTTTAGACTATTTTAAATGATATCAGAATAAAATCCCAACCAACTCTATTCTTGCTTTCAACAATAATTGTGATTTTTATTGAAAAGAGTCCATATTCATCAAATTTTAGAATAATAATAATTTTTATTGGAAAGAGTCCATATTCATCAAGTTTTTCTTACTTTATAATCATATTTTAAAATAACTCCAAAATAATAAATTAGTCACATTACTATTTGTCAAAAGAAAAAAATTATTAGAAACGATGGAAGCTCACCGTAATGCCCAAGACGAGGAGGCGGCAACACGATTCTTTGAGGCTCAACAGAAGTATAACAAAGTGCTCAGCCGCGACGAAATATTCTGGAAGCAGCGGGCGAAAATGCATTGGCTGCGCAGTGGAGACCGAAATACAGCCTTTTTCCACCGCTCGGCTACTGCACGTAAAAAGTTTCAGCAAATCGGATTGCTCATCGATGATAACGGCAATGAAGTCCGAGAGCACAATGGTATGTGCAACATTGCGAAAGATTATTTTGACAATTTATTCTTTGCAGGGCAGGGGGTATATGAACGAGTACTGGAACTCATTCAACCAACAATATCTACAGATGATAACAATAAGCTTCTTTCTCCAATTTCCAAATAGGAGTTGTTCAATGCCCTTTCTACCATGCATCCGGATAAGTCTCCCGGTCCAGACGGATTTAACCCAGCTTTCTATCAGAAATTTTGGCATCTCTGTGGAGATGATATTTGGATGGCAGTGAAGAACTGGTTAGACAGAGGGTTTTTTCCTGACTCTCTAAATGAAACAAACATATGTCTTATCCCCAAGTGTACTAACCCTCATACCATGAAGGATCTCCGGCCTATCTCACTGTGTAATGTGATCTATAAGCTGGTCTCAAAATTACTAGCTAATAGATTGAAACTCTGTTTGGGTAAATGCGTCTCGGAAAAGCAGTCCGCTTTCGTGGAAGGTCGGTCCATTCTTGATAACGCTTTAACTGCTATTGAGGTCATTCATTCCCTCAAGAGGAGAACAACGGGGAACAAAGCTCATTTGGCTTTGAAGATTGATATTAGTAAGGCGTATGATAGGGTGGATTGGGGTTTTTTGAGGGGTATGCTCAGAAGGATGGGGTTTGCTGACAAATGGATCCATTGGATGATGATATGTGTTTTGTCAGTGAACTACTCGATTTTGGTTAATTCAGATAGTGTTGGACCTATTCTACCAGGAAGAGGATTGAGACAAGGAGACCCACTGTCTCCATATCTATTCATTCTTATTGCAGAAGGCCTCTCAGCTCTCATAAAAGGAGCAATTACCCCTGGTGATATTCATGGCATCCAAATTTGCAGAGGGGCACCAAGTGTGTCCCATCTGCTTTTTGCTGACGATTGTTTTTTGTTTTGCAGGGCTAATGTATCGGAGGTGACACATCTTATGGAGCTTCTCAAGGTCTATTCCCTTGCTTCGGGACAAGAGATAAATATTTCAAAATCAGAAGTTTTCTTTAGTCGTAACATTAGCATTCCGGCTCAGGAAGATATTGCGAGGATTATTGGTGTCCGTCTGGTGTTGGGTACAGGCACTTACCTGGAGCTCCCTTCTATGATAGGTCGCAGTAAAAAGGAGACTTTTTCTTTCATAAAGGATCGCATATGGAAGAGGATCAATTCTTGGAGAGGTCGGACGCTATCTAAAGCGGGGAAGGAGGTAATGATCAGGTCTGTGCTCCAATCGATCCCATCTTATATTATGAGCATTTATCTTATTCCAGACACTGTCATCAATGATATTGAGAAGATGTTGAATGCTTTCTGGTGGGGGGAGGAAACAATAATAATAAAGGTATCAAATGGTTGGCATGGGAACACTTAGCTTGCACCAAACATGAAGGAAGCATGGGTTTTAGAGTTTTCAAAGCTTTTAATTTAGCTATGTTAGCTAAACAAGGGTGGAAATTATTATCAAAATCTCATACTCTCGTCTCTCGCATATTCAAAGCAAGGTACTTCCCTAAATCCTCTTTTTTAGATGCAAAGATTGGTAATAACCCAAGTTTTGTTTGGAGGAGCCTTTGGAAAGCTAGAGATGTTTTAATACTTGGATGCAGGTGGAGCATTGGTGATGGTAGTAATATAAATATTATGAGAGATCCTTGGTTGAGAAGTAAGGAAGGCAATTACATTACTGGCCCCCAGATCTCAGGTGTGTATGACATGTGTGTGAATGATCTTTTACTCCATAACTCTAAACAATGAGATACCCAAGCTATTCATGCCTTATTTGATCATGCAATGGCAAGTGAAATTATGAAGGTTCCTCTGTTAGGAGAGGTGACAGAGGATGGCATAATATGGAAAGAGGAAAAGAACGGTGAGTATAGTGTGCGATCGGGCTACCGGTTGTGGAGGAACTCTCGGCGCCATAATCAGGTAGGGAGCGGTGCGGAAGTTTGGGATAACATCTGGAACATCATGGCCCCTCCTCGAGCGAAACACTTATTATGGAGGATTTGTAGACGTTGTTTGCCGTCGAGGGTCAGACTCCACCAACATTATGTCCAATGTCCTTCTGTGTGCCAAAGTTGTGAAGTTGGCGTGGAAGATGATTGGCACGTGTTCTTTGGTTGTATTAACGTTCACCAGTGTTGGCGGGCAGCAGGTTTGTTTCACCTTATCGAATCCAGGTTACACTCTTTTTCTGATGCTACAACACTTATTTTTTATATTTGTAGTAAAGAGGAAAGCCGGGAGGTTGGTAGGTTTGCGGTGCTTCTCGATTCCCTTTGGAAGAATAGAAATAATATTATATGGAATAATGAGAGAGAAGATTATTTGAAGGTGGGACTCCAAGCCTTCTTTAATTGGAAGGATTGGTTTATGGCTCGTGATGTGAAAGAAGTCAATATTGCAAATCCTAGTTGTGTGAAGTGGAATCCGCCTCAGGAAGGTTGGCTTAAGTGCAATGTGGATGCGAGCTTCAATAACCAAATAAAGACAACTAATAGGGGCTGGTGTGTGAGGGATAATGTTGGGAGATTCATATCAGAAGGAGTGGCTTGGGATACTGGAATTATGTCTACGGTAGAGGCGGAAGCTTTGGCCTTGAAAGAGGCAATTCAATGCGCTATTGCTAGAAACATGAATTATGTGATCTTTGAAAGTGACTCCCAGGTGGTGGTTAATGTTGTTCTATCTACTCATGTTGGTTGTTCTGAATTTAGTTGTATTATTTCTTCTATTAAGCAGTTACTTCCTCTTATTCAAAACTTTGAGGTGAATTTTATTAAACGTCAAGCGAATATAGTTGCCCACTCGTTAGCGAAGGCGGCCAATTCTTGGTCTAAGCGTAGTGTTATTAATGTAATTCCTCCTTGTATCGAATCTCTTTTGATCAATGAAAAAAGTTAATTTTGTTCTTGTCAAAAAAGAAAAAAATTATTAATTAATATTATTTAATATAAAAAACTTATTTATTGAACTTAATTGATATGTACTAGAATGTAAAGTAACCCATTAAATTTCTGTTTTTTTTTCTCTTTTAATTTAAAAGAAAATAAATGATGATTCCGCAAAATCATATTTATATTTTAAATTTCTTTAATGATAATATAGAATGTTGATTTTTTTATTAAATAACATCATAAAATTATTTTATGTCGTTCATTAAATCTTTAATTTAATTATCTTAAAGTAATTTTTACTTTTTTTTGGTAATTTCCTTTAAAGTAAGATACGTTTTGCAGAGTACATGCAAAGCAAATAATCTCTTATTTATTTTACTTTAATGAGACAAGACACCGTCGTAAACTCCAAAAGCATATGACAAGGACATGACATCAAACAAAATTGTCCATGGATCTCTCACATACCAATATGAATCTCTCTAACATGTTTCCGTACAAAATACGATTCATCACCGTAGTTAAGCAAGCCAAATCTTTCTCTCTTTCTCTGTCTTTGCGTCTATCTCACCTTTAATTTTATCTCTTATTACTCCTTTACCTTTCTTTGCTTCTATTTCTCTCATCCCATCCATGAATCATGTTCGAAGAATCTCAAGAATTCGTGTAGATTTGAATTTGTTTCACGAAAATTCACCCTGATTCTGTTGAAAACTGGACGTGAAATTTCTGCCAAACACAGCTCTTATTTACACTGATTTGGCAGTTTTAGGTATGAGTCAAGCTCATAGCAATACAGTTTCTGAAAGTTGACTTCTCTAGTCTTTTATTCTATCATAAATAACTAACTTATTTTACTATCTTTAGTACCTTTCATATTTATACAACAATTCATCATGATGTTGATCTTGCATTCATGTTTTCTGTTCTAACTTAGATGATTGATCTCTTACTGATTCACCAGATGTTGTGTCTATTGAAAGTTGCTTCTTAAGTTATAGGAGTAATGGCAGATTTTCAGATTCCGAGAAAATTAGTATCTGATTGGGAGCCTAGCAATTTAATCAGTAATCGAGTTCAGGCGGATTCGGTTTGCAATCACCGAAAACTAAATTCTGATAAGCTACCAGAGATGAAATGGTGGCTACATGTGAAGAGTAATATGGAGTGTGATACTGATGCTGATTATTCCTGCAAAACTGAGGAGTTTGGTGCCTTGTACGCGGAGTTTCTTGATGGAAATGTTAAGAATGGTGAAGATCAGTCTATTATTGACTCTGATGCGCTTTCTTATATTGGAAGTGATCATTTATCCGTGGATCAGCCACGGAATGTATCTTCTACGTGTATGAAAAACAACAATAGCAGAATGCCGAAAATTGAGGCTTCGATGAATAACAATTTTAGTCCCAAGAAGAAAGATTGGAAGGAGTTTGGATTTTCGGATGGTCATTTTATGGACTGCGATGTTTCTGAATTCTCTGTCTCTGAGAAAATGGCAACATGTTTGATGGGAAATGAGAAACCCGGGCCTTGGTGGCGTAGTGCTGGAAAAGATGAGTTAGCTTCTTTGGTTGCTCAGAAGTCACTTGAGCATGTGGAAAATTGTGATCTCCCTCGTCCGCAGCCTAAGCATTTCGGGCAGAGATTCTCAAAGGGGGTTGAGATTGATCGTGATAAGATAAAGTCATCGTCTATAAACCAGAAAGCCGAGACTTGTTCTTCTAATGCAGATGGTTATACATCTGGAACACCGAATCCTGACTGTTCTTTTCAGGATTCAAGCACTCATTTCAGGTAGTAATGCACTGAAATTCTTTACATTTTTTATGTATTCAACACAGAAATTTTATGATTATGCTAAATTAAACTTATTGTCAAACCATGTTGTTGTATATGTTCAGTTCTGGCCGGAGCAAAGATTGTCAAATAAATTCTGAGAACAGCAGCATTACCGAGCTGTTAGAAGCATTGTGTCATTCTCAAACAAGAGCAAGAGAGGCTGAGGAAGCAGCGCAACAAGCCTACAACGAGAAGGAGCATATCGTGAGTCTTTTCTTCAAACAGGCTTCTCAGCTCTTTGCATACAAGCAATGGTTCTACATGCTGCAGCTTGAGAATCTTTGCCTTCAACTCAGAAACAAAAACCAACCATTGTTAAGTCTCTCTCCGCAAAGGGGAAAGAACTTTAAGAAAAACCGTGGCAGAGCTGAAAAGAAAAAGATTAGTCACAGAAAATGTGGAATTAGAAAATGCGTCGTCGCGCTTGCGGTGGGTTTAAGTCTTGTTAGTGCAGGTTTTCTTCTTGGTTGGACCATGGGATGGATGTTTCCTTCAATGTAAATAATGACATCTTGATTGAGACATCCTTTGTAAGTATTTCTAGTTGGTTGAGACCTGTTACCTGTATATATATTTAAAGATGACATTTGTGTAGAAGAATGTGTATAATGTTGCCATGTAAAGCTTTCTATCTTCATGTTTGTTTGATCATTCACAGCCTCTAGACTCTAGAAAATCTTGCTTTTGAAAATTTTCCATCATTGGGAATTGGTTAGAACAAGTTTGTGCAAAAAGAAAAATTACAAATATTGAGACTTTGAAGTGTTTCCATTCCATTTTCATTTAAGATTTTTACTTCAAAACAAAAGGACTAAAATAAGTTGGAATCTCAGGTGATATACATGTATTACTTTGATCATTGCTTGAGATTATCTGGTTTTTTCAGTTGAAATATGTATGTTACGTCTAATTTTAAAATTCAAATTCTGTTACACTGAGTTCGAAAATTGAAATCTAGATTATTTTGATGTTGAATTTAAATTGTCTTCTGTTATGATTGTAGTTATGGTGCACTATGATGATGTTTTCGATATTGTCTCTGAGGCTAGTGTACTATGGATGTTACGAGGTGATGTCCATGTAGATGTTAGAAAGCAATTAATAAATAAACAAACAATTTTCATACCTGAACATATGCTTCAATGAATTTGCACGGAGACTGCCAAATTAGAATTTGTGAAGATGAGATGTGACAAGTATAAAGAATTTGTCTGGAAGTTGAAACGTGATGACATCGGAACAAGGAAATGTGAGCATCTGTTTAAGTTGCGCAGGTACCTCAAGTCGAATAATACATGAATATTTAATGTGATTTGTGGTACACATAACCATGTTTTTTTGTTATAAGTTAGTCAATCATCTGATTCTACGTCATCTCAATTCTGAAGAGAATAAACTTGTATAAATATGCTTCATATGTTGTTAACAAAAACACACCAGAATGAAAAAATATTGGTATACCACATTTGTTTACTTCAACGGTGTGAGACTTCTTTCTGAATTTAGGGGCACAAAGAACACCTTTCTTGTAGAGCTGAAATCTAAATTGAAGAGTCCCTTGCAATACCCGAATAATCAATGAGTGGTTAAGATCGACTACCATTCACCCTCGACTGATAACGAATGAAAGATGAAGTATAACAAGTTTGAACTGACGACATGTGAATATTTAATAGTTATCTGGAATACATTTTATTGTTATGCAACAAAGGGTCCAATCGAGGTGGATGTGACAGTGATGTGATCAACCAACAATATTCTAAACATGTTGAAACATCCACAGTCATCTCTTATCATAAAATGTCATATTTAACTGATATTCTAAACAATGATGAAACGTCCACAACCATCTCAAAATGTGGCGGGGCAGGTCCAGAGTCCAAAATCCAAACTTTTTATAAAAATGCTTTGACGTCTTTTATTAGAGTAAGTGAATAACTCATTGGTGCATTGAAGCATCCCCATTCTTTATTCACATCCATTTTAGGTGGGAGAAGTTATGAGAATTAAAAAGAGCATGGTGACTTAAAAACTCCAAAACCAAGAAACACAAGTCCATGTTACCATTAATTTTGTTGCTCAATCCCAAGTTATGTTTACACCTGACAAATATGTTGGAAATAATTGTAGGGACAGTTTCTCAGATTACACTATATTTAATTTGTATCTTGTAGATGAAAAAAATGTGGATGGGAGAGAATATTCCACTAAAGATTCATCATTGACAAAAACCAGTGAATATTTTACATTGATCAATAGTTACCAAAAACATCATGACTTTCGTCCTTGCTTCCAGCTATACCACAAAAGGAAGAGAAATGAAGTGAAATTTACTTTGATTATATAACTACATGATCCATGTTTAAAGTAATTCCTGAACTCAATAGTAAAGTGCTGAAAATAAAAAGTACAGTATACAGATGAAATGATGAACAAGTGCGGCCTATCGAACAAAATGGGTAAAACTAGAAAGCAAAACTTGATTTGTTTTCAAGATTTTACGCCACATTTTCCGTTCTTCCTATAGATTCTATGGTATCAGTACTCGTCCAAGTATGTATAAAGTGTGTCATCCTTCTTCGACTTGCGTCTGCTTAATAAGGCCTTCAAGAGACCTTTACTTTTAGTCGGGTATTGTTCTACCTCTTTTCCATTGTCCCTTTCAGCAGATAATCGCATTGAAGCTGATTTGCGTGGCTCAGAAGGGTACTGGTAGGAACATAAATACAGTTAAATAAACTACAGAATTCATTGCCAATGTGTTGAGTCGCATACATTGATTTATGTCACTTACCCTTTGTCTTGTTGCATTAGAAGGATTTGGTGTGATTGGTCTGCTTGGGTTTGGAGTACTTGATCTGCTTGTCTTCGGTGTTGTAGGTCTACTTGATCGAGATCCAGTACGTAGAAGCGGGAACCGGTATGGTGAAACGGATCGCTTCTCTTCAATACATGTAAAAAAGATTGAAAATTCAAATACTAGTTAGATTTACATCTTCAGCCTTTATGTGAAAATGACATCACTAATAAGTAATAATATCAATGATTTTTGAGGTATCATGTCATAGTAAGCGTGTACCACCTAAATCTTTTTTCGGCATTGTCGAAGTGAACGAAAAGGGTCCAGGTCTCTGAGGTTGTACAGAAGGCGACGGTGAACGTCCTTTACTGCATCAAATCAAAATAATCGTAAAATCCAGATACTCATTGAGTCCTTGATCAACTTAATTCCATAATTACATGCAGCATTTGCAGTTACCTTGCCGTTGTAGATGTTGGCGTTTCTCTAATTGTAGCTCGAACAGCTTTGGAATACAAACAGAATAAACGAACATAAGATTTACTATAGTAGTCTAGTCTCTTAGATAAGTGCAATCAAAATATTGGGCGGTAAAAATAGATACCATTCCTGAACTGAGGCCACTCTTCTTCGTCCTCAAGGCTGCATCCAACATATTTCGACTTTGTGAGGTTGGCACCAATCATGGTTTCCCCAACTGAAATTACGCAAGGAGTGTGATCATTTAAAAACATATACACAATTCTAATAATAATAATAGACTCGAGGGAGATGTTATACATGCCTGGCAAGACGTAACGCTTGTGATATTTTGGTGTACTGATCACCAACGACTGTTGGGTAATCCCCTTATGATCCATACACCCTTGGTATGTCCTTATTCTCTATGTACCACGTTAAGGAAAAACATTGTTAAGATAAATTCGTAAGACTGATCTTCCCTAAGGTAATAATTAGTTTGAATGATATAAGTTCTCGGCTCCTCAAAGCAACAACGATATTTATTCCTATCTCAAGAAATTCATTGGCTAAAAGTCATATTGATGATCTTAATATATGATGATGATAGTGGCAAACCAATTATTCATCTTAGCAATTATTTTCAGCGTCGATTAACTGAACTTTCTTTATTCAGAGGTGATCAATAATACCTGTTCAATACAAGATACGCGTAGCTCGGCTCCAGAAACTTCAACAACCTTCTCATCCAACAAGTCGTTAACTTTATAGGTCACAGAACCTAAATGGTCCACCGTATTTACAAGAGCTTTGATAGCATAATCCTTCAGTGTTTCTACAACTCTAAAAACACAAGATAGAATCATAAAGCAAAGGTACAGAGAATATGACGGTATTAACAAATCGACATAAATATATACCGACTTTAGAAAAGCAACTCACATCTGTTTTTGATCATCGTTGGTATACGAAAGTTCAAAATACTCAGCTGCTGAATATAACTGCGTTCTCAGATTTTTTAAATCCTAGAAGAAATAGTGAAAAGTTAAAAATAACTAGCAAAACACTAACTCTATTCTACTTTGAATCAAAACGGCAAATGAATTAGACAAATTATAGATCAAATAGTCGCGAAACACATGTACCCTGAGACTATCATCAAAGAGTAAGCTTTGCTGCATATAAACCTCATCGAAATTCGAAGTTTCTTGAGACAAAGGCGGCGGCGTTGAAGAAGTTGTGACCTTCCCCATGAACGAAAGTCGAGGATGAAGAACCACCTTATCCACAAAAACAAATACAAATAAACAAAACTGATTGGAAATTCATATTCAAGTTGAAAATCGAGAGAGTGAAGAGTTAAAAAAGAAAAGAAAACGATGTCGAAGACAAAGAGAACCAGATCAAAACCAGAATCAACATTACCCTTTAAACCAAGGTTGTGTAAACAAAAAGCCCCAAATAAAATATACAATCAACAACAATTGAATCTAAGAAGCTGAATAAAGAAGGGGACAAGACAACCTCATTTCTAACGAATTAATAAAAGACCAAAAGCTGATTATCTTACAAAAAGAACAGCTGTAACAACAACAACAACATAACTAGTCCTTTAAGAAAATCAAATGTATATTAAAACTTAACAACATAACAATTCTGAACTATAACAGACAAAAAGCTAAACTAAACAGCAAAAATCCATCATTGTTTTTTCCTGAATCTTAACCAACACTCACAATTTACTCAATTCCCATCAAAAGCAAACCCGACCCAATCCTTAAAAACATCAAAAGTCACAAAATTTAAAACAACATGCGTGAATAAACAAGGAAACATAAACTGGGGTAAGTGAGTTTGTTGAAATTCTCATCAATTACCTTTGCTTTCCCCTAATAGCAAGCAAGTTTTTTTCTTGAAGCAGTAAGTGAAACAAACTGGGTAGAGGGTTTTGAAGAAACAAAACAAAACAAAACCCAGTTTGTCAAAGAAACACGCTTTGGGACATTTGAGCACTAAAACGGTTAGGTGTTCGGTTTTTGACCGAAACAAAAGAAAGGGACAAGTTGAAAAAAATCGAAAATTCAAACATGTAGAGGTGGAGAGAAGAAAGAGGAGAGCACGTCGGAATCAATGAATATTGGATGAGGAATTAGGAGAATAATAATAATAATAATAATAATAATTTTGAATTTATTAATGGAGTATTTGATATTTCAAAAAGGTGTGATGTGAGTGGTGGAAGACACAAACACAAGGTTTTACGGAGTTACTTTTACGGGGTTTCTGTTTCTGACTTGTTGTGTTTGTCTAGTGGTGACGGGAATGATTGCAAATATATAATATAATTAAAATCCTTTCACATGCAAATTTGTAGTTTTTTTTTCTTTTTTCAAATGAATACAACTAATATGACAAGCTTCAGGGTATGCAGGAGAATCTATACATTTTTACTTTCAGATTAATAGTTTAAAAGATTGTGAATAACATAGATTCTTTGATTGATCTTAAGTGCTTATATGTTGAGAAAATTGAGTTTAGATCTACAACAATTATGAATAGGTAGTTCTTGTTATAGATTACTTACTCACAATCGTTTTAGATATAGATTCAATCTTCTCAACAAAAAAAATCTTTAAAATTGATTAAAGAATTCACAAATGTATAATATCTTTTTAGTATTGTAGGTTAACTTTGAAGTTTATTTTCGTCTTCTAACTTAAAAATTTATATTAATTCCTTAACTCTTTAAAACATACTATTTGAATTATTTTCATCTAATTTACGACAGAAAAACTTACAAATCAATTGCTAAATTCGTTGTTAATTAGACAAAAATGACTAACATGGTATGTTCCGAAGAGTCAATTGGCCAATATGGACATTTTTAAAGTTAATGGAGTAATTTTAACATATTGGATCAAAAAGAGTTTTTAACTTAAAATATTTTCAATTATTTCAAAGGTCTAAATCTAAGTGGCTTAGGGAAGATGACACTAATTATGTCTAGTTTCATGCTTCTGTGAAAGGTAGAGGTAGATAAAATGCTACCATAACTTTAAAGGTCGGAAAAGGTTGAATTTAAAGGGCTTTTGAAATTAGGCAAGAGATTGTGAAATATTTCATTGATATTTTCAAAGAATCTAATGTTGATAGACATCGTCTTAACAGGGTTGCATTTGCTCTTTTTCGAAATTGATAACATTATTTTGACGTCTCCCTTTAGTATCTAGGAGTTAGATTGTGTTGTGTCGGGAAACAAAAGTCTAAGTCCGAATGGGTTCAATTTTTCCTTCCTAAAAAGATTTGTTGGAATCTCGTTAGAGAAGATTTGAGAATTATGTTTGATCAATTTCATTGTTTTGCATCTCTACCTTATAGTTTTGCACCATACTTTGTGACTTTAGACTAATTTCTTTGTTGTGATCTTTGTATAAGCTAGTGTCTAAAGTGTTAACCATTAGATTTAGGTTGGTGATACATACATTTATTTCCCATAATCAATAAGTTTTTCTTAATAAGAGAATGTTGGTTTATGGAATGAGGTTGCCAATTAGGTGATAGGTTTAGCTAAGAGATCTAAGAAAGTATGTCTTATTTTTAAGGTGAATTTTGAGAAAACGTATGATTTAGTTAGTCAGAGCTTTCTGGATTATATGCTTATTTGATTTGGTTTTAATGAGAAATGGAGAGTTTGGATGAGAGCTTGTGTGTTTGTTGGTAATCTTATGGTGCTGGTTAACATGTGTCCAACCAAAAAGATTAGCGTTTAATGGGATTTGAAGCAATTTGATCCACTATCTCACTTCCCTTTCCAGATTGTGCCTGAGGGGCATAATGGCTTAATTGTTATGGAGGAGGATATTGGTCTTTATTATAGTGTTAGGATGGGATCCTCTAATTTGGCGGTATCTCATCTTTAATATGAAGATGATACATTCCTTGTGGCAGATCCTACTTTTGAAAATCGTTAATGTATTAAGGAGATCCTAAGAGGGTTTGAGCAGGTTAATTTTTTAAGAGCAGTCTTATAGAGGTTAAGTTGGACCATGTCTTCCTAACTTCTGCATGAGAGTTCCTTAACTGTGAGATTAAAACCTTTCCTTTGGAGTACCTTAATTTTTCAGTTGGGGTTAACCCTAGGTTGGGATCTACTTGGGAACCTTTAATTAATTTGATGACCAAGAGGCTCCCTTTATGGAATCACATATATGTTAGTTTAGGAGGTATGATAGTTCTTTTTAAATTTGTGTTTAATGTTATACATATATTCTTATTATCCTTTTTGAATATGCATGTAAAGGTTTGGAGGAAACTTGTTAGGTTACATAGAAGGCTTATATTGGGAGGGATGAGGCGAGAACCTAAGATTTCCTAGATAAAATGAAATGATGTTTGTATGAACAAGAGTAAGGGGTAGGAGTTAGGGATCTTCGGCTAGTTAATCTAACCCTTTTTTCTAACTAGAGATAGTGGTTACTTACACGTGCTTTTGGAATGTGGTATGATATCCTTGTATGACATTTTAGTCATTTCCTCTCTTCGAGGAGGAAGGATATTGGGGTTCCGATCTACTTCAACTTGGTGGAAATGTGTGTCTCTTCTTGGGTCCAAAGATGATTACCATTCTGATTGGTTTGCTAATGGTATCCTTAGAAAAGTAGGGTCGGGCCTCTAGGCTTCCTTCGAAAAGGAAACATGGTTATGAACCATTCCTATAAAGGTCAAATTCCCTAGTCTATTTTCTAAATCCATAAAACCTGAAGGGCTGGTGAGAGAGATCAATATGGTGGATAACAGATACCTAGTCGAGGATCTCAAGGGAAGAAGACCCTTGGATAACAAAGTGAGTCGCATATGTATGAAAATATTTTATCTATGCTCTGAGATGTTATTCTCTCTCAGGAGAGAGATGAATTGATTTGGAATCATACAAGTGAAGGTCATTTCTATGTTGCATCTACCTATCTTGTTCAGTTTGTCGGGTTCTCTCATTCTCGTTCGACTGAGAATGTGACCATTCCCTTTACTTGGGATAGTTTGGACCCCTTTAAATTTTTTATCTTCTGACAACTTTTGTAGGATAAATTCCCTTCTAAAGAGAACTTGTATAAAATGTGGGTAATTAATTATCCTATTGAGATTTCTTATTCTTTATGTGGGGTTTCAGTTGAGTCGGTATCTCATCTCTTTGTTACTTTTGAGTTAGTTTTGTTTGTGTTGTATATGATCTTATAGGGGTTGGGTTGGGAGGTGGTTCTTCCTAATGACCATAGGCTTATTTTTTAGTCATTCATTTCTTATAGGTGGTAGCGCCAAGACTAGGGGTGATTTTATTGTAATATAGCATGTTATAGCCTGGACTATCTGGAGAGCTAGTAGTGATGTATCTTTAATGGTGTTATAAAAACTGGAAAATAAATGGAGGAGAAGAGTTTTTTTTTTTGCATGAAAATGGTTTATAGGTAAATTAGAGGTGAACTTATGGACGTACTCTGACAAGCTACAAAACCTTACCATCTACCTTAACCAATAGCGAATAAAGTGTTTTCCTTGATTTTAAGGTGGGTGGTGGTATGTGGTTTATTTTTCTCTTAGTGGAGCTTGATCTGTCAATGATGCTTTTAGCGATATGAGCTCTTACATAAATCCTAAGAGTGTGTTTGGATGAAGCAATTTAATGAGGGAAAGTAATTTTTTTAGGAAATTTGAAATGACTTGATCAAAATCCATTGTTTGGATAAAAAATATGGAGAATTGTTAAAATGATGTAAGTTTATGGAGTATTTTATTTATGTTAAATTTAAAGAATTTAAAATGACACTAAAAAGTAAATAATTTCAAATTGCTTCTCCACTCCATATAATGCAAATGTTAAATTGTTTATTATTAATTTTTCAATTTTTAGAAGATGATTCTCATATTTTATGAAAATTTCAAATTCACCCTCAATATTTTCAAAAATTGCAAATAAGTCCCTAATAATTTTTAAAAATTACAAATTGATCCCTTCAAATTTCAAAAATTGCAAATTGGTCCTTATTTTTCATATTTTTAATTTGACTAAAAAGTTTTAAAATTTATAAAAATGATCCCTAAAGTTTAACAATGAATCATTTTAATACTCCATCCAAACAAAAAAAATTTAAAAATGAATGAATTTCAATTGAATCATTTGAATAACTAAAAATTTTAAAATCTCTAAAAATTTTCAATTATCTCATCTGAACACACTTTAATAAAGGATTGATCTATA